CGTTTACGGTACGGAGAAAATACGGACCGTAAAACTGTTCCCTATCATACGGTGAAATACGTTCCGTTTACTGCTAGTATTCTGACCGTTTGCGGCCGTAAATACACCTTTTTTCATCGTTAACTACTGTGAAACGGCGCGTAAACGGTATTCGTTTTGACCGACCTGGGTCAGCTGATGTCTGAAGACGAAGAAAGAAAAAAATTCTAATTTTTGTTGTAAGAACTATGTTATATATATACTCAATATCATTACATAGCAAAATTTATGTGATAAGAATAAGTCATCGATTCTTGCAAGATCATATAAGATCTTATAACAAGAAATCGTATGATCTTGCGATAAGAAATAAATTTAAGTCACATATTTCAAGGAAAAGATCTTGTAAGGTCATGCAGTAAGATCTTGTTACAAGATTTCATAAGAAAATGGCAGATTTTGTGAGATCCCGTAAGATGAGTTTCACCTGGGGCGGCCTAGTTACACCGTGTATGCGGGGGTTGAATACGGCGCATTTACGTAGCATCATAAGCGAACACCGTGTACGGCACCGTATTATACTGTAATTGAACCGTAATACGATGCAGCGTATATGGTCACCGTTTCCAGGCCGAAAATCACCGTAATTTAGCCGAACACGGCCATTTACGTACCGTATTGTTCGACCTGGGAACATACAGCAGCCTTACCACATAACTGATGAAGAAAGTGTAGATTAGTTGCCGCATAACAAAAAAATGTCTTGATTACTGAAGTCGGGAAGAGTTATGAGGTTCAAATAATGATGTATCAGTCTTAAAATATGGGATCCTTTTCTGCTCTCAGTTGCAACTAAGCTTTAACCTTTATCGTAGCCTAGAGATTTTATCTTACATACCGCGTTAATTATCTTTAAAACAGTAATGCATTTGGAGGCTAAGCATTACGTTAATTATTCGCTGAATACATATAAAAACATTGTCATGAAATGAATCACGTAGTACATACTCTCTTATAAATGCACCTGCACATCAATGACTCGTAGTACGTAGGGGGCCACGAACCTTCGAAAAAGGCGGAAACTGGAAAAGCACCTTTATCTGAAAGTTCTTGGCCCTTGACGAAAACCTGTTTTTCTAATAGCCCGCGTCGAGTAATGCGAAATATATGTCATACCACGTCCTGCAATCCCGTAGAATGGTGCAGCACGTACTCAAACTTTGAAAACGAGAAAAATCGCCTCCAAAGTTGTTTTTTTCTAGCATTAAGTGTTTTCTAATCTCAGTTCGAACCACTTCATTGGATAGAGCTTGAAAAGACGCGCCGAATGCATATCTTGTTGTCTTGTGTTGATATGGTTTTATCGGGAAAAAAAGGCCTACGTTTCGGAAAAAAGGATTTTTTTAAAAATTTTCCATGCTTAACATTTTGGAACATTTTATCCGCTAATCATTTTGTAGCTCTGTACACATAGAATCTAATCTGACGGTACCAACTCATGAAAGTGTTCCGCTAGAAAATGGTGAAAACGCCCACAAAAGGGCTATTTCGCTGGGAAATGAGATTTCCACAGATCTAGAAGACTACCATGCCGTTATTTTAAAATTTTTTGAACGTGATATTCGTGATCAGGAGTCCGAGTTGTACTAGTCCCGTTACGCTCGAACAATTCGGACAAGGTCGATGTAAACTCTGGTACGCTTTCAAAGAATCCCCCCAATAGATGATAATAAGATAATCACCCCAAGAACTTGATTAAAATCGGCCGAGTTTTCTTTCTCCGATACATTCCGTTACGATGAACCACTTCAATTGAGGATACAAAGTTGAGACCAACCTCTTTTTACTGCGATGACCAGTTGCTTGCAATTGTTTCTTCGGTACTCCAACGATTCTAATATTGTACGTTTTTGAATATCTTTCATGCTCATTCACAACTTGAGGCAATTCAAAGACGCACTTATCTTGCTGTTTTAAAAATTCATCTTGCTCTAGAAAACGCTGCTTGAGGTTTTCAAAACGTTGTTCGAGGGCATCTAATCGACTGCTCAATTTTTGAAGGAAGACAGAGGCATAACGGTCGATGATTTTTTTTATCGATACAGTCATCAGTATTTCCATCTTTTGATTTTATTTCTTCAAACATTTTTGAGAGCATGGAACCTAGTGACAGTCACTAAGTGACTGATCGCAATTGTGTGCCAACGCGGGATTTCAATTTTTTTTCAGTGGATTACTTGAATTACTCGAAGAGGTTATAAACTTCCAGTGCTCTGTTCTGACTTCTGTTCTATCAAAATTAGAATTTGTTCATTACAGCTGCGAAACTTGATTCAATTAAATTTTTTTTGAATTTTGATGAGCTATTTCATAGGCACTTCGAAGTCATTCCGGCAGGTTGCATAACGAATTTATTTCTAGAGTCTAAATTATTTTCAGTTTCATCAAATTCTTTATTATAAAAATAAAGAAATACAACAAGAAAAAAAACAAAAATAGTTACACACATACATTGTGCACAATAAGAGCTGATTTGAATACTTTGTACAGTTGCATATAAATACACACATATATACACTGAAGCCTGACGTAAGAGAACCTCCTTGCAAGCAACAGCAACAATCACAAAAATTGTATTAACAAACAATACATCTGTACAACACATACTGGCACGCACACATGCACAACATGCAAATCGGAAAGAAGCTAGAAACAAACGAAAACGAAAGTATTCTAAAAAGGAAGAAAAGACGATGATCTACTGTGATGGTTTACAATAAAAACAAACAAAATAACTCAATTCATACATACGACGAACAGAATAAATGCCAAAAAGAAAACAGTACTGTTTTTCTTCTGTTTATACTGAACGAGTTCAATTACTGTGAACGTGCATTACGCATCAATGGTTTATGAATCATAGCCGGAGTTGATCGATCTGCATCATACACATTCAATTCTTGTGCTTTTTTTGGATCAACCGAATGTTTAATACTCCAACAATTAGCACAATAATATTTCCAACATTTTAAACTACGACAAAAATATTGACCAGTATTTGAACATTGTTTACCATCGGTACCACTGCATGTATGGGTATCAATCAGGTATGGATCAACTTGAATCTAAAAATTGAAATATTTAGAAGACAGACGCTCCACTTCTTTTGTGACCAAATAATTTGGGTGTCACTATTGATTTGCTATATAAAATATCCCTCTCAGATATTTCCTTTACATCTTTATGGCTAACCACTTGAAAAGAAAAGTACTGTCATACTTACCACTTTTGAAAATCGATCACAATCAATGAAAATGTAATTGGCTGTTATTGCAGAAAAATAAGAATGCATATCAGCAAATATAACACGACCAGACCCTAAATTAGATGTATTTTAAAGAAGTTTTTATAGGTGAGCTTCCTATCTACATACCGATGGGGTATTTATTGCGATCTGTGTCGATAGCAGCAAATTCAACACGACCAAATAATACTGTAAATATTTGTGCCAATGCGTACGCAGTCATCATTCCATGTAATGCACCAACAAAAACCGTATGATCAGCCTCAGATGGTTTATTACGATCATTTTGAACGAATGGTGATGTATCATCTTTATTATTACACCATTGTGAATCTTCTGTGAACCATGGTATTATTTGAATCTAAATTCGAAAACTCGTGTAAGCTTCTTCTGAATGATGGAGATAAGAATAATAGGCTACATACACTTTTACGACGTGATGCTGAGCGAGGATTTGGTACATTGAGATAATATTCACATCTTCCGTCTGTATGACGATGGGTTTGTTGTAAACATGCTTGTAATAATTGATGAACAGATTGTTCATGATCATAAATTACATAAACGTAACCAGCTTTACCTGAAAAACAGAGATGAAGTACAGCAAACAATTTCACTATTCCTCTGTAATATCGAATCACTATCGCACACTTTTACTTCGTCTCGAACAAACGCTAGCAAACAAAAAACAAATTTGTGGCTCATACCATGATTTGAACGACGATGTAGAGCCGTTCCATCTGTAGGCCATTCAACACGACAAGGACCAAATTCATTCAATCGAGCACATAAATCTCCTACAGTAATGAAGAAGGTTAAATATTTCATTCTAGAAATCTTCCCTCCGTGTCATTTACATACTTTCTTGCAAATCGTGTGGTATTCCACCAAGAAAAACTTTGCATGAAATGGGTGGTATTTCAATTGAAAATGGACGTTGACGAACGGGTAATGGTGCCGTCCAACACAGACCTGGCTTAACTTTTCCAAAAAAACCTAAAATTATATCATTTCTGAAATTATTAATTCAAACAAAAAACAAAGGAGCGTACGTGTTGCTTGTCGTCGTTCTTGCTGAGCTGCTTTTTTCAGACGGCTATCGTTTTTCATACTGACTTGTTTCTAAAGTGTACAGAAAAATATTGTTATTTCAGTTTAACATGAATACACAGTTACGAACCAAATGTTCAATAATATAATCCGTTTGATCATCATTAAATAGTGTCAAGGGTAGATTCGTTGATCCACTTGCACTATACACCGCATCCGCTAATTTTTTCTCCAACATATTGATCTGTTCACTTAGTATCGAATTTTGTTCCATCGATGCTCTGTGCAACAAACAAACTCGCATAAAGAACTGCATAAATAATATCAAACTTTCAGACATTTTCCCTAACTGAGTCCACTATTTTATCTGGTACAGAACACTACTCACTTCAATAAATCCAGTGATGAAACTGGCTTAATGATCGGAGAATACAAGGTTTGTTGTTGATTTTTTCCACTATAATTTGTTGTGTCTAATTCTGGATCTAAATGACAGTGAACGGCATAAGGACCACTTTTATCGAGAAACTGTAGGATACATACTGGATTGAGACAATGTTGATTGAGACAATGTTGAGTGAGAAATACGTTTGGCATTCTTTCTTTTTGTGTATTTTTCTTTCAAACGATGCGTGATCAATTCATCAAGCTCATTTACTTGAATACCAGGTATTTTTTTTAAATATTCCAGTTCTGTAGAGTAAATGCAAATTATGAACAATAGTCACAATAAACAAGTTTCAATACTTACCACGCTGATATTCAGTCAATAATTCATTTATTCCAGGTTCATTGTCATGAAGCTCATACTCGTCGTCCTTATACTGAAACCAAATCAATGTTTATCTAACGAGTCATCATCTGAGAAATCTACCACACCCAGTCTTACTCTATGCCCAAGAAACCTGATTACTGATTTCAGTTATATTAATCAAAAGTGACACTTCTGCAGCACTGTGCTAATCACACAACAGGATTAGAATAACAATCTATCTTGAGCAGTTCTTCATTTTATAGGACAAGTCAGCGCTGAACATTTTTCTGATGATCTCCTCTCTACCATTTTAGGGCCGTTGTTTCACAAATAACTTTGTGTATAACTATTTAATCTCTAAATATCTCTCATTTAAGATACAATCACTCACCGGAAGTCTGTTATCCATGTTTTAATTAATTAATAAAACTTATAAAAAGCTTTAAAATATGTTAATAAAATGTGACGTAAAATATCAAACAACGTAAGTGTACTAAAATGCGTCGTAGTAAAATGAGACGTATATATTTGAAAATCGATACGTTAAAGAAAATTAGTTTTCTTTTTGTTTGTACATATCAGACTGGTTATTTATATATGTATATATACATGGTTAGATCATAGCAGGTGGCTAGTTGTACAGTCTGACTGTATTTTCATAGACAAAAGAAATTTGATTTCAGGCAAACATGTCGATCTAAATATTCAATGTATCTGTTTTTGAAACCTTGAAATGATACAATATATCGTCATTCTGCAGCTGTACAGTCTCACTACGTAACAGAACAATTGCCTTGTGGACTGAATTTGTACATTTCTTCAAAAGAAAATTGTCTACCACTACAAACTTTCGTCGGCTGTACTGTTTCTTGAGATAAAATGAATTGAGATAAAAGGAGTTCGAGAAGTGTCTATCCAGGGTCTCGAAATGGGGAACAAATAGTTATGACGCGAGAAATTTCAATGTATGAGAGTAATATAAGCAAGGTTATTGTTTTTAAAATATGACAAAACTTTATTTAAGACTTAAGTAATAAGTCTTTTACTCGAGGTTACAAGGTTACACTCGAGTCGAGTGTAACCTTGAAACGTTCAATAGGAAAAATAATAATTCTTCATGTGAATTGTCGTATACAGAGTTACGGGAGAATAAGGCAGAGTTATAACCGGTCTCAAAATAAGAGGCCGGACCGGACCGGCCGGTCCACAAATCGGTTTAGACTGGTGAAAAACCGGCAACAGGCCTGCCGGTTTAGAAAAATTCTTTAGACTGGTTAAAAAACGGCAAAAGAACGGCCGGCTTTGAAAAAAATTTTAGACCAGTGAAAAAGCGGCGGAAAACCAGACGGTTTTCAAAGTTTTTCTAGGCGGACAAGAGGGTAGAAAAACTCACTTTTTTCTAGTGAAGAAGAGAAAAATTCTAGGAGTTTCAAAACCGGTCAATCACCGGTCGGCCTAAACTGAACGGACCGGCACCGGCCCGATTACAACTCTGGAATAAAGTACTAATTTATAATCGCGTTACTGGTTACAGAAAGCTGCTGAACAATCAATGTTAAACAAAGACTTGAGAGTGCTCGTGATAAAGTAAGGTTGTAGCAATCTTTAAAACCTGTTTGATTCGACAAATGATCTATTTGTAATTCATATCGTACAAAAGACTAGGAAATTTATTTTCAAAAAGAAAACTTCAGATAAATTCCTTTGTCACTTAAAAGTTCTTCAACATTTCGTTTTGAAAATGTGCGATTAGTTAATAAACTTGCTCACAATTTATGCAAAGAAAGCTGGAAATCGAAAATTTGTCATTTCTAAAAGCTTTCATTCTGAAACACATGAACAACTAACTTTTCTGGGGCTAGTTTCTTAAAAAAACTTAAGTAAAACTTAAGTGAAAAATTCGTCTTAAATCAACATTTTTAGTTAAGTGTGTTTCTCAAACATTACTTAACTTAAGTCAACCCTCGATTTCATTTAAGTTTTCACTTAAACTTTTAAGTAGAAAATTGTTTAAATTTTGTGACTTCTTTATTTGAAGTCAGTAACCCATCCAACCCACCATCATTAGACTGTATCAATCTGGTGTAACGTAAAGGATGTATAGAGGATAGGGTTCAAAAGAAAAGTTGTCTGCCTGTGTAAAGACGTTCTTAAATATCATAGAGACCTGTACCAAATCGTGCGTTATCCAATAAAGCTTAATGAAATAGAAAAATGCATATTTAAAATATAACATTCTTTTCATCTCATAGAACAAAGTTAGAAAATAAGTAGTGAATTCCTTGTGGTTTCTCGTACGTCATGGATATTCGTTCTCTCAATTACCACTATATGGTCGATTTTCTATCATTTATCTTTCACGGTATTTTTGTCCTATTTTTTTTTCTCTGCTCATATAACCCCTTTATGCTATCTATCTATATTGAAATACATATCCAGAACAAAACCTCACAGTAATCAAGGGTCAGATAAATTGCACTTCCAATTTCAAATTCTTCTTAATTTCCATACTTTGCCAATAAGAACAAATACACTGCTCGTTTATGTAATTTTATTTCATACATATCATCTCTTTGCAAATTAAATAGAACGAACGTTTGGAAAATCAAGGTACAAAAGACACTAGAATAACAAAAGGATACTAAACAATAGGGAAAAACAAAACAAAAAAACAAAAAACGGTTTAATTAACAAGTTTATACATTAGATCGGCACTATTGTTTAATACACACTTAAGGAAAAAAAGACAAAAAGTAAACTAAATCATCATTCTTTCTCAAAAGTACCACTGTATCAAAACAGAATACGTCATGAGTTTTTTCATGAATGAAAAATGTTACAATTATAAACTAAAAATAATCTTGATTAAATACTAAACAAGAGTTCCATCCATACACAATAAGTTACTACAAATACTAGTTCATTTATGGTGCACGTGCATTCCTCATTAATACCTAGAAAATCAAATGTGAATTAGCAAAGACAAATGTAAATAATTGAATGAAATCAATACTTTATGTTGCATAGATAATGGTTCACTACTGTCTTCATTCCATTCTTCTTCATAAATCTCATCTGAATTTCCATACGTATCATACTGATTTAGTTTTAATTTTTTTGAAATATGTGCATGTTTTATATTCCAGCAATATCCACAATAATATGACCAACATTTTAAACTACGACAAAAATAACTACCAACATTTATACACGGTTTGCCATTAACACCGGCACAAATATGGCTGTCGGTTAAATAGGGATCAATTTGAATCTAAATAAAGAACGTGCTGATATCCAATACAACTGAACATGAAAGCAAGGATATACATTCAAATATAGACGGATACTTACCACTTTAGAAAATCGATCACAATCAATCATTATGTAATTGGCTGTCACAGCAGCAAAATAACTATGAACATTTTGAAAGATAACTCGACCAGAGCCTGAAATACAATAGAAAATTACGCTCATTCGATCTGTGTTCTGAGATACTCTATGCACCTATAGGATATTTATTGCGGTCTGTATCAATTGCAGCAAATTCCACATCGCCAAATAATGAATGACATATTTTTGCCAGTGCAAACGCTGTCATCATTCCATGTAGTGCACCAACAAAAACCGTTAAATTTGTATTTGTTTGAAATTCTAATAGTTTTTGTTCATAAGTTGGCGATGACTCTAATTTTTCACTCATCCATTGTGAATCTTCCGTAAACCAGGGAATTATTTGAATCTAAAATATAGAAATCCATTCTAGATGCTATATTACACTTTGCAACGATGGAAAAACGTACACTTTTTCGACGAGCACTTGTACGATGACTTGGGACATCGAGATAATATTCACAACGTCCATCATTTAAATTTCGTTCGCTTTTTTGTGAACAAACTCTCAATAACTGATGAACGGATTGTTCATGATCAAAAATGACGTATACGTAACCAGATTTACCTGTTCAAGAAAGAAGAAAATTTTCGTAAAACAGGTTCAACCCTAGAAACATCCAAACAGTACGTTTCCCTCCTCTCCAGGAGTACAAACCATTCTATTGAGTGTACTCGTAGTGTAACTTCCCAACACTGCAAACATGCATGCTAGCAGAGTACTCATACAAGTTGAACACATATTTTTGAAGTTTTTTCCACACGTTTCATGGTGAATCTCTTGATTTGTGCAAGATCAAGGAGTTCAGCGCAGATAAGCACTATGGTAGTTCGTGATACATAACCGACTCGAGAACAACAATGCTATTCTACAATAAATAGGTACTCGAAAAAACCTTCGCATTAGTTTAACAACTTTAATACGTTCTAACGTTAGAGTATTCCTGAACTCAAAAAAACTCCTCATGGCCCACTGGCATAGTGAGCGTGAGTTTTTTGTCTAACCACGAAATATTGTGAAAACGTTTTTTTATCCAAAGAAAACGAAAAGAAATTTTCTTTGATCGCATTTTTTAACAGTGCTTTTTCGTGTGAGGCAAAATCTGCATTCAACGTGGTAAGAGGTAGCAGGGGTCGTCATGGGACAGGAATCTCATAGGATCCCATGAAATACTACGGGACGAGATGAAACTTTTAAAGTATCGTGAGACAGGATAGGACAAGATAAACAAGCCGTAGGACGGCATGTGATAGGATGAAAGTTTTGAAACTGTATATGGGATGGGACATCATCCCACGGCAAATCAGTCTGTTGTATTGCTGAATTTTTTTATATTCATTTATGAACTAAGGTCGAATTGTGCTGTGCCGATCACCCGACTTGTTATATTTCATGCGGTTGTTCACATGATCTGGTTCGTAACCTCGTCTCATCCTCTTAGTGCGTGATATTTTCTTCTCTACTTTTTTCTAGTTCGTTTTCTTCTTCTTTTTTTATATATATGTATAGTTTTTGAGAAAAACATTTTAATGGGATCCTGTGGGATCTCATGGGATGAAAATTTTCCGAACGTTCATAGGATGCGATAGCACAAGATGAAAATATTTTTCTGTAGGAGGAAACTTTCGTCCCATCCCGTTTCACGACGACCCCTAATAGATAGTATTCAATGGGTGCTCGACAAGTACTCTTGAATTATAAATACTTATGATTCTCCATGAGTGCTCATTTCATTATTACAGAATATTAATTTAAGAATTCACAGGTGAGTATTCACTAAGACAGTTTCTTTCTCAATCTTAACTCAAACTTATGACACTTTTTCTACCATATCAAGATAAAAATAAAAATAAGAAATGTTAACTGTACCGTGATTTCCATTACGATTTATCGCAAAATTATCTGTTGGCCATTCAAGACGACAAGAACCAAACTCAGCCAATCGAGAATTCAAATCACCTACAAAACTTTCATAACGTTGTCCCTTCTAATGCAAACTGGACAGTAAAACAGTCTTACGTTCATGAATGTCATGTGGAATACCGCCAAGAAACACTTTGCAAGACATTGAAGGAGCTTGAATGGAAAAACTTCTTGGACGAACGGGTAATGGTGAATTCCAGCATAGACCAGGTTTGACTTTCCCGAAATGTTCTGAAATAGAAACCTGTGAAAGAAAGTGAGCCGACAACGTTGAATATAATTTGTACATACGTGTAGCTTGTCGTCGCTCTTGTGCTGCTGCCCGTTTCAACCGGCAATCATTTTCAACATTCAACCGTTTCTACAAATGAAAAAAATGCTACAACTGCAAAAAAATACGATTCATTAAGCGCTTACGAAACTTTCAAGGATATTCCTTGAGTCATCATTATATAAATATGTCAAATTCTGATGGCTTGTAGTATACGGATAATTTGACAATTTTTTATCTAAGTAATAATCAAACTGATTATTTATCAATGAATTAGTTCTCGATAATGATGTTCCATTTGTGTTAGGTCTAGAAAAGTAAAGAGACATATAGCAGGTTCTACCAACACTATCTTCTGCATAAATTACCGTAACAATGGCGTTGATGTATAACCATTATCCATCATACAAAACAATGTTTCTTCGTGACATTTTCCAATATCGGATGATTCTAGTTCGCAAGCTACTTTTATGAAGAGTAAAAAAATTAGTGAACAATGCAAAGACTTAATAATACCTTTTACCTAACGTTGGGTATGACGCCGATGTTGGTAACGCTTTTGGAGGAGTTCTTCCCATTCTAGCAAACGCCACATCAAGTAGACGTTCGATAGCTGATTTGTTGTGATCTTGTTCACGAATATGCGCAAGTAAACGATCAATTGCTGGCAGTTCTAAATTTAGAAACGATTTTAAAATGCTAAATATTGTGTAAAAATAAGAAGTGCTAACCAAATTGGCATTCTGATGATAATTCTGATAGACTGACTTCATCGTTTTCCTTCGATAAATGATACTGAAACGAAACTCAAATGTATGTACTAAACAAGCATTAGTATAACTTCAGATTAAATAATAAAGCCCCTTTAACAAAAATAGCAAACGAAAGCAGTATAAAACACGTCAAACTTTTTTTCTCAAATAAAAAGATTAAGAAAAAGAAACATCTCCGAAATTCTATATATAATCATGGAAATTTTCAGCAGATGTAAGAATTTCAATAATAGACCCATCTTTATATCTGTTATTGCACGGCGAAAAATAACGTTCTATCTCCTTCTTTTCTCCTATCTTTCATAACAGATGTAACAAATTCTACTTATCCTCGCGTGTAACTGCTTAGTTTCGGAATACAACATGCCAAATAAAAGCAGCGGTTGAACAGTAGTGTTGTACAAAAAACATTTCGTACTTAGGTAGTTTTTCTCAATTTTCGTGTACCACAGTCGATTGAGCGAGATTTTTGAAAAAATGTGAGAATGTGAAAGATTTGTGACTTACCGAATATCCGTTGGCCATTTCAATCAGTTAGCTTCTCGAAAGTTCATAAAAGTGTTACAAAATAGGACTAAAAATGTTTATAAAGCAATGATCACTACTGAAGAAAATAGGCAGTCCATATTGATCAATGAAATTTGTTTCACTTTTTATTCGTTGTACATATCTTTACTACAGAACACGTGTAAGAAAACTCTTTTTTTTCTGTGTGAAATTAGTCATCGCACTACATCATAAGACGTAGTGCCTGGATATTAAGGAGCAGTTTATGACGTGAATTACTGTTGCGTCGATAGAAAAGAATTAAAACATATGTAAGAAAAACCAGAACAACCTAAAAGGTTTCCACTTTGCAGAAGTATCCTCCTATAAAGAAATTTACTGTAAGCAAAACCTCTGATGAAATATGCGAGTTCTAAATGCAGTGCAAATTTAAATTCTATTCTAATCGAGACGGAATTTTTGAGCACTAAGAATCTTTCTCTTCTTTTTGCAGCAAAGCTATAAAACGAATAGATCATCTTAATGCTTCTCGCAAAATACAACCTGACCTATGCATTTAGAAGAGCCCTTACAGTATGACAACAATATTTTGTAATGGAGAATAAATCGTCTTACTTGTACGTGTTTCTAGTGCGTACCCAGTGCTCTTGAATAGTCGTAAAACAACATCGTTACTAAGATATCAGCAATAGTTTAAAAAACTGTTGGATTTAGTAGAATTAGCATTCAAATGGATCTCGTTTTAGTTAGGTGTTGTACTGTGACTTTAGTTATATTCATAACTTCTGAGAACTGAGGATTTTCCGATAAACTGATGAATAGAAATGAAAAGAGAGTAATATTTAGCTGTTTTAAGCTACCAAATGTGCACCTTTACCTATGCAAAGACGATGAATATGAAATATTGGAGTTTATTTAAATCAGACGAAGTAAAACAGCACAAGAAAAACTTTAACCCGGTAAACGAAATGAATGAATGAATTTAGTAAATGAAAACTTGATCTCAGAGCTGACCCGAGACACTTAGGATTGACGGGGACGACATTTTTTTAACGATTTTTTCTAAAAATGAAACTGTTTTTCCATAAAAAAATATGTAATCATAAAATTTGACTGCGTATGATCTACCCAGATTTTATTTCAAGATCGTGTAAACTTTTATAAAATCTTCGAATTTTTTATCATAAGTTTATTAGGAATAATAAGACTTCACAAAAATCTTACCAGTGAGAGTACTGACTCATATTTATTTGTTATCATAAAATCTTACAAAATCATACGATTTCTTGTCAAAAGATCTTGCAAAAAGCGATGACTCAGTCTTACTATATAAATTTTGTTACGATATACATAGTATATATGAAACGTTTCTATTAAAAAACGTATAATTTTCTTTCTTCAACTGCATACATCAGCTGAGCACAGAGTGTACGGCTAAAAAACTTGACCAGACAAGATCTTGAAGATTCTGGGTACTACTTATATTATCAAATATTATGAAGAGAATAAGGATTTTTTGAAGAGTTTATGAGAGAGATCTTTACTAAAGCATTAGACTTATACATTGAGAACCAACATTATTCATCCACCCCTATAGTGTGACACTGTTTGATCTATTGAACAAGCTAGAGAGGTTGGGTTTTCCCCATCATGTAGAGGACATCATCTAGTCTACATGTACGTAGCATGTGAGCATTTAATTTCGTTTTACTTTCGTTTTACTTCTGTTTTAAGTGGATAATACTGAAAATGTATCGTTTTTTTCATAGGTAAAGGTGCACATTTGGTAGCTTAAAACAGCTAAATATTACTCTCTTTTCATTTCTATTCATCAATTTGTCGGAAAATCCTCAGTTCTCAGAAGTTATAAGTATAACTAAAAATTCAGCGGTCGGATAATAAAAACGGTGGATGAATAATTTAGGTTCTCACTGTAAGTTGTATACGATTAATTTGTATAGCAAGCACCTTGCAAGGTAGTACTAAAAGATATTATTCGAATGTCCTTGCGACTTCGGATGACAAGATCTAATCACAAGAAAAAAAATATGAAATTTTACAGGATTTGTTAAGCAGGAAATCCTATGAAATTTTACACGATGCTAATTAGAAGTTTTAAACTCGCGGACGTAGGTAGTATACAACAAAAATCTTAAGAAAAACTTTAGGGGCTCCTTAAAATCATCTTACTACCATCATGGAAGATCCTACACTTTCAGATCTTAATTAAGATTTAAATAAGATCTGATGCCTCTACTTTCATTCATCTTTTTGCTTTGCTCTTATGCGTTTATATAAGTAATAACGAAAATATAACCGAATTTTATGGTGTTATTTTTTCTTCATAATTTTGCTCATATTTGCTCCGACAGTGACAATAAACGCTACAGATGAATATCTGATCTTTTACCTAATCTAAGTCGAGTGGTATCGTGATAAACTGCATCGAGACGACAATTAATTAAAAGTAATTAGCGTTTATCTCAAAACAAGAAAGCATTTTTTGAATTACTTCGTGAATTAATCATGAAAAATTGTTTTTTAAACGTGAGGCCAGTGAAAGCCAGCTATCTCAGACTAACGATATGAGATTGATTGTCGAATGAATAAGATCTGCTGAATATCACATTTAAGTCAGATATTCTTGAATAAGAAGTTCTTTGGATTCGAGACAATGCAACTATTGGATACTTGGACGCTCTCTAGTGTTGGACTGTTTTAGATAGAGCAGAGATGGGTGAGTCAACTCAAGTCGCATTTTTCCATGACTCAGACTTGAGGTGGGAGACTCGATAAACTTGATCAACTGACCAGACTCCTGCGGGTCCGAATCCCATCCCATTATCCTGTCCTGTGGGATAGACGGAATCGAGACAAAAAAGAATTTACGGGTTCGGGACAAAAGGAAAAAATCACGTCCCTTATCCAAATCTAGAAGATGTATTATTTGTCGGCTTAAATATACGGGGTAAACAATACGGGGAAGTCTGTGGTTCTCTTTTTCGGGACAAAATAATTTTTTGTACGGCTCCATTTATGGGCTCACGGGCTCGGGCTAAAGAAAAATTTTGCGGGCTCCGGGCAACAGAAAAGTTTGCGACGTAGGAGTCTACAACTGACTCGAGTCCCTTTCGAGTCAGTCAAAAACAAAATAAATATCTTCTTTTACTCAAACTTGTTAAAAAGTTTCCGTCTGTCCTGGCAACATCTGCGCCAATAGAAAGAATATTTTCCCAAAGCGGTTTTTTAATGTGTCCTCATTGTACTCGGCTTACATCGAAATATTTAAGTTTGTTGACGTATTTGAAATGTAATAAACATTTGTCAAAAAGTGTATTTAAACTTGTTGAGTAAAGTAGCGTTTTCTATGTGAATTGAATTATATGGTGCCCACCTTTAGATCCATGTTACAAAAAAAAGAGACAAGATAACACGTAGCAAACGTTAAACAGAATGAATACAAACGAATGCTTAAAACAGTAGAGGTAAGCTGCAAACTGTTCTTGGAAAAATTAATCAGGAGGAAGTTTTCCTCTAGAAAATGACTCGAGACGACTCGAGTCAATTTTTGATGCAACTCGGACTCGGACCTGGAATCGAAGGCTCATGACTCGGACGCAACTCAGATTCGAAAAAGCGGTGAAGATAGAGATGGGCCATCTATCGACCGCCATAAAACTGACGTCAATAAATGGACGGTGTTCTACAAGCGATCTTAATGAAAGTTATGTATATTACTGCTTACTATCTAACTAGACTATGCTAAACATTTGAGTTCAAAAGGTTGAAGCACTACCAAGTTACCATTGCCACAAGGAACAAAATGGGGCTCTCAGCAAAAAATGGTAAAGCTTTTTCCGACGAAGTACAAAGGTGTGGGTGGTTTCCAAATGAAAATAGACACTTAAATCTAAAAATCTATGGAACAGATTTTGAATGTCACTTTTGTTCATTTTCAGCACAAATTTCAAATCAAAATTCCGAAAAAACTTTGAAATTTGAGATCGTGTTTTTTCAGTTTTCTCGGAACAGGAAGCAAAATTCAAAACTCTGTTCCATAGATTTTTAGATTTATGTCTCAGCTTCAAAATAAAAAAAAATAAAGGTTCTACGATGAATCGTCTAGAAGAAGTAGCATTTTTGCTGTGCCAAAACTATGTTCTAAGAAAAACGTTAAACAAGTCTGATGATGATCATAGTAGTAGATCTAAGGTTTAATTTAAAATCTCTCAAAAACTAATTTTTTGGTCGAAAGCAGCACAGATTCTGAAAGAGAAGATTCCAGAGTACCTAACTAAGCAATTAACTCAATTTCGATTTTTTAAAGAAAATCATCGATTTCTGAGGGGGAGGGGGCCTTAAAGTCAACAACCATTAACAAGCAGGCTTTTTCGCCTAAACACAAGCCAAGTTCAAATGCGTTAAGACTTACTTCACGTGCTTCAGTAAATGTTTTATCAGCAGGAATGAATTTATTATTGTGTTACTATATCACGTTATCACATTCAAGTTAAACCTCTTTACAGTATGTTTTATTTATGTACAAAGACTATTTTTCGTGTCGTCGATAAGATATATACACATCATGAAGCGGTTACATTTACAATGGTAAATGTGAAATCAAAACGATTTGTATTTTTCCACGATTTTATTTCTAATTCTTTGCAAGTTAGTCTTGCTTCTATAGAAAAAAGATAGAAGATAAATAGTTTGTCAATTCTTGACTTATTCACAGCATGGAAGTATGTGTTGTCAACAGAGTTATGGCATAAAACAACGATGGAGGAGACTTAACGTGTCAATGTTTGTTGTCGCTAGCTTTCCACGAGTCTTAATATGCTTGTTCCACCAGCACACCTCAATGTAAAATACAAGTGCATATAAAATCCACGAGAAATCTCTTGTTTCATCCAAAAATTAATGTTGTGGCACCAAGTGATCTTAAACAAAGGGGTATGTACATACTTTTTTGATTTTTAATAAAAAGTACAAAAGGTAGTTTTGAATATGAAGAATCGTATTTGAATTTGACACGTTAAAGATCTGATATAAGATCTGATCGAGTCCAAAACTACGGTTTTTAACACGCGAGAATGAAATATTACTGAAATTGGAAATATAACAAATCGGTTTGTTTATGGGAAAAGTTAGTTGTTTAGCAGACCGAACTGCAAAAGATTTGATATAAAAGCAAATTGATATACTGGTTGCAGAAGAAATTAAAATTTTAATTTTTCCTAGCGGAAATTAAAATCAAAATATTCACTAACACGAAGACTCAATTAACCGACTTTAGAGCTCGAATTTTAGTTTTCTGAAAAGCGCACGATGTTTATCGACATCAGGTGAAGATTATGGACAGTGACTGCAAATCCAAAAGTCTCTATCCGACTAAAATATAGCCGTACATTAGAGTACAGATCACAAAACGTTTACACGTCAAATTCTACTCACAAGTTACTGTTTTTGGACTCCCGATCATTGTTCATAATCTTCACCTGATGTCTATAAACAGCGTGCGCTTTTCAGAAAACTAAAATTCGAGCTCTAAAGTCGGTTAATTGAGTTTTCGTGTTAGTGAATATGTTGATTTTAATTTCCACCAGGAAAATTAAAATTTTAAATTCTACTGGAGGATGTTTTCTAAAAATTCTTAAGTGCTCGACTTAACTAAGTCTAGACTTAAGTGTACAAAATTAACACATAAGTGTAAAAAACGGAGAGTTAAGTATGACTTAAATCTAGACTTAGTTAAGTCGAGCACTTAAGAATTTTTATGAAACATCCTTCTGAACAACATATTCAAAAAGAGGAGATCAGTGATGAATTACAAAGGACGCCAAAATTCAAAACCATTGAGCAAAGAGCAAAACTATTTCTTCGACGCGTCATCCATAAAGCTCACATTGTTATACCAGAATTATTTGAAAATTACATTCAAACAAAATCTATGCAAATCTATTTGAGAATGCATAATGGGAGACCGTTCATTAAATATCTACAACGTGATAGACAAAGCCGTTACGTCAAAAGATCGATCACAAAAACTGACTGCTACTTAGACAGATTGTTTGCTTTCTTTTAGCAGTAAAAATCATTTGAGAAATTGTGTTGATACCTTGTAAAAACTTATTCTATCTTAAAAAAGAAAAGTAGCCGGGACTTAGGTCCAGTTACTTGCTGTTATTTAAGTTTAGTAATAAAGCAATTTCACACACACAGAAGGGATCAGTAGAATATAATCTATTTTTTTTAACTAATATAGGAAAAAAGCGCCATAACCAAACTAGAGAAACATCGAATCTAAAAGCATAAATTTTTTAATGCTATGCTCTTGTGAATCTGTCTGCTATCAAATATGATGCTTTCGTTACTTTCGAAAAGAGAGAAAACACTATTGAAATAAGACACTATCTCTAAACTTTTTTTTAATCATTAGTGGGATGATTCTTTTAGTTCGTTTGGCCTATTTATTAAGTTAATACAATACTTGTAACTTTACTGAGACAGAAAAGTTTAGACAGACTAATCGTCTGAGAATACAGTCTAATCTTGAATGTTTTTAAACTCATTTTCTGACTTGTTACTTAAGAGATTCTTTCTGCCTCTTTCAACTACTTTTTCTTTTTGTCTGTCCGCTTATGTATTATTCAAAATTGAAAGTTCTTTTTCTTCTTTTAATTCTTTTTACTGTATTTTGTCAAATACATACCTCGATATCTAAATGTCGTCCACATGATCAATTAACTATTGGCTACATTCTTCGCAGCTATTCTCGATCCTGTCAAAGTGAAAATTTCGTTATTTAGTACCGCCACCTTACGAAGGTTTATTTATTCCCAGAATCAATAATTTAGGTCCATTTGAAAGATATAATCATTATCCCATGGTCCCTTTAAATCAAAGTACAATTCAACCCATAATATATTCTCAGACAAATACTGTTTTACGTCGATGGTATAGTTTCGTCTGAATGCCTCGATTTATTTGTACTTTACATACTCATCTATATGTACAGTTTTGTATCTATTGCGAATAAAGAATTTAGCACATGTTATCGTTGAAAGCAAAGAGGAGAGAGAGAGAAAGAAAAAAAGAGAGTTATGGGTATTTATTAAACTAGATATAGTATCGACACATTTCATTCATTCATTCATTCGTTATTTTATAGTTTTTAAAACCATACATTAGTCTCTTTTCTTCTTGCACTATCGTATTTGTCTTTTAAAATAAAAAAATATGTATCACGTGAAACGTTCATCAACAAGTAAATTAATGATAAAACAATTACAATCTCAACTTTTAACATTTCCAACATCATTTAATTATCCTTATTATAACGATCAAACAATTCAATATGATCCAATGAATTACAAATTTGATACAGATGTTATGATGAATAACAATACATATTCTTATTTTCAAAATGCTCTTTTTAATGAACAACCATCAATACAACAGCATGGTGAACGAAAATCAAGTGATTCAACATCATCACCATCCCCGGCCAGCAGTAGTGATAGTGGTTTTGGTGCCGATCATCATTTTGGTATGGGTAATTTAATGGTTGACAATAATAGTTTATTGGTTAATAATGGTAATTTAAATCATGTTTTGAATAATCAAATTAATGGTCAACCTACGCTCTGTTATTATTGTAAAAATCATCATCAACCAGAATGTTTATATACATCACATGATACATATGATGAAAATGGAAAGCTAGTTTGTCCATTATTAAAATTTTGCACATGCCCGATGTGTCAACGAGCAAAACAATTGGATATTAATATTAGTAGTCGTTCAAATGATATAATCGATGATGATGAAGATATGGATGGACGACAAACCGATAGTGGTGGATCAAAATTATTTTTAGAATATTATATGAAAAATACCTAAACAGGTTAGTATATGTTGTCTTTCTTCCAGCTTTGACTTATTTTACACTATGATTGTCAAGAGAAAAGGCTTGATTTCTTACAGAAACTTTAGTGAGTTATAGTTAGATTTTTTGATTGTATGAGTGTACTCGAGTTTTAGCTTGACTTTCTGAATCATTCTACCAGACCCACGACGGATAGTCCTTTTTTGGATATACATGGATATGAGCATTATATTTTCTTTTGTAGTGTAGTCGGTACTCGCTTTAGTTCGAAAAGGTTTTCTTGGGTTATAAAGTGTTTAGTGATTTCTCTTGCTTAATTATTCCCTTCTTTGGATAGAAGTATTGAATATATAAACCTAACGTCGGTTGATTTCGCACTTTCACAGCCGTTCTCAGCAATACCTAAATATTCCTTTTCATTCGACTCCCTAGTCGAGACTCCCGGTCAAAGTCGAGACTCACCGGGAGTCCCGGAAAAAAAGTCCCACGGGGTCTCGTCGGGAGTCCCGGAAAAAAAGTCCCACGGGGTCTCGTCGGGAGTCCCGTAGGACTTTTTGATAAACCCCGCGAGAGTCCCAGTAAAATCCCGAAAAATCTAAACAATTGAAAAATGTCCCACGAGAGTCCTGGCAGGATCCCGTGACGGGAGTCCCTATAAAATCTTCGCAACGAAAAATCGTAGACAGCTCGGAAACGTCTTAAATTAAATTTTCAACTCTTTTCTGCATTTTGAGATCTCTAGGGACTCTAGAAAATCTATCCTTAAAAAGTTATGATTAAAACGCCGCTAGCTATATTTCGATTTATTTTTTGGAAAA